GAAGGGCCTATACTAATGTGGGGAGGGATGTAATATAGCTAATTAATATGCTAATAACTAATCCAAATAGGAATAACTAATCAGTATTCAATATATAGTTCACAAACACTATAACACGCGTTTATCTCGTTTTATTGAGTCTTAAACACTACACAGGCCTAAATGTTAAAAATGACTGATAAAAAAATAAAATAAGCTAGCCTTGTGTAAAATATTTCCTAGATACCAGGATAAAGCGCCTGGCTTCCACTTGATTGCAGTCATAACCAACAAGTCTGCTGTTGGTTTGCTACAACTTGTATAGTCATCGTCACTAAGTCTGGATCAATCTTGTCTTTTGTGTATTGTATGCAGGGGCGTAGGAACCGGGGGGGGGGGACATGGGGCACGTGCCCCCCAAATTTTTTCAAAGGATGAGAAGTGCCCTTTTTTGTGATGAAAAGTGCCCTTTTTGTACAAGCAAATGTCACTGTAAATACTAAATTAACAGGCAAAGGTGCCCCTTTTTTTTAAATTTCAATGTTTTTTAAAAAAATTTGGTAAAAAATTTTGTATTTTTTCAGGTAGTTGTACTACCTACACTGGCAGACTGCGGTGTGGAAACCAGTCTTAACATGGACATTCTAATGACAATTACATATGCTTGGAAGTGGCAACAAGCAAATGGAAAGCAGACTTTAGTTATGTTTCTATTAAATGCATCAACAACTTAAATACTTATGCTGTAATATTAAGTTCTGTTCTAATCTCGTCAGCCAAGTATGTCATTCCATGTTTTTCCAAAATTTTCACAAACTTAGATACGGTGTTTTCAGTTGCTACTGCCCATCTTTGAATTAGTTGACTACTTTTGTTTTCCTTTATTTCAATTGGCTTGACATCTTCAAATTTTAAGTCCAGCCAGCCAGCCAGGTCCTTCCAACCTATTCCAGCTGTACCGGCATCAAAATCTTCACACATTTTGTTGTACGTTTTGAATGAAAGACCACCAAACCTTGTAAGATGTGGATTATTGACTTGAAGATCATTTGAGGCCATTGCAGCAGGTACACATTGTGGAAGCAATAGTTCTGGTTGTCTGTTCTCCACCACTGGTTCTACAATAACATATATAAAGTTACAGATTCCAAACTTTTTCATTTAAAAAATATTGGAAATATCAATACATAACAGACATTTACCTAGTACATTGTTCGCCACAAAAATATTGAGAGGTGGTGTACAGCCCATGACTGTATCACTGACATTATTTCCTGCATTGTTTGGCTGGCTTGAATTAACTAAATGCACAGAAATGAAATTCTATAGTTAGACTCAAATTGAATGACAAGAATAGAACACAAATTCAATATCAGAACAGGAGAGTTGATGAAGATAAATCAATCCAAATCCTTCTATTGTTTCCTTGAGATTTTTATTTTATCAGCTTTATTTGACATAAAACTTATAGATTACAAGGTGAACAGACGTCTAATAGTGCAAGGAAAACGAGACCATGCAAGGCACAACCCCTAAATAGAAGTATGACTAGATTAATGCAAAAAGAAGAAGAAAAAGAAGATCTATTTACAGTAAATATATACGCAATGGCTTAATGCAGTTTAGGAATGATGACAGTTAGGAGCACCAAGTGCACGAGTGACCAAGTCCACAGCATATTCACATTAAAAATAGTCTTGACCAAGTTGGAATATATCCTGTGCAGGAAGTGTTTAAAAATAACTAGGCTGGCACAATTTTTCTGTAGAGGCTATTTTATATACAAACATAGTTCCAAGACTTAACCACTCGGTTGACAAACAAAGTCTGAAAAGTTGATGATGTTTTTCAGTATACATAGGTTTCAAAACAAGGGATTGATTTTTGAGAGTGAGATTGTTGCAGTCAATACAACCGATAGATTTAGAAACCAATACATGGTGTCTATCTGATGTAGATAAACCATTTTTTTCACCTTCTTCTACATTTATTAAGCAAAATAAACATGCCACAAAACCTCAAAGAGCATATACTAAACTTAAATCGAAAGAGATTAACACATGAAATAATATCAATGATGATGTTGTACTCGTTCAATGATGATGTTGTACTAGTACTTGCTGAATCATTGTTCTCTGTTTGTGAGACAAATAATATGATTAATATTTCTTTTTGATAGAGTTTTATATGAGAATTCTAAAATGAGAATAAAACATTACCTTGTACACTAAACTTTACAGCTTCTCCTTTCCCTCCCTCATCAGGTTGGTCCAACAAATCTGCAGTGCTGCTTTGCAATTCCTCATCATCTTTAGCTTTGAGGAATATTAGAATGATCTTGTAGACCTTAATTTCATATTTTTAATCACAACACTGGTCTACAAGGATTACTACTAGCAGGCCTCCGGTACAATTGACTGTGGAAGCTTATAAACAAAGCTATACTTATAAACAAAGCTATAAACCTACCTCCTTCCTCTGTATTCCTCGACTTATACCAACATATACTTATTATGAATATTATCACAATAGCAATCACACTAGTGACAATGCCAGCAATAACACCAGAAGCCAGCTTAGATTCTTTGATATCTTTTCGGTCATGTAATACTACAAGTTTTGATGTATTGTGGGTTGTTGTAGGACTTGTTGGGGGATTGCTTGTGGTCTTTGTTGCCAGCGTTGTTATTTTGTTCTGCCGTGCCAAATCAATGTCACATACAGTTCCACCTTTATTCATACTGTAGCCTTCTTCACATTTATCAATGCAACGAGACATGTCATTCTTATCAGAACACGTTCCGTTGACAACTTGGTGATGAAACACTTCTTGTACTGACAATCTTGACATGCCTTGAAATCTTTCTTTGGAGAGTATGTACCACTCTTGCATGGGTCACAATCACCGACTGAAACACTGGCAGCAATAAGTTTCCCACATGGTACTCTTGGTTCATACCCTGCAGAACAAGCTCTGCAATCAATACATTTCACTTTTCCATCTGATTCTATAAGATAATGTCTTGTACGATCACATTTTAATGCGCTAGAAAGGCCACACAACAACAGCGTAGTTGCTCCCTACCAAAGTAGAAAAACAAAAGTTTTGATTTCATTATTTCTGTGGTCAAAACATTGAGAACGTTAGAAATGTACTCCAGTTTAACCCAGATAATCTTACTCATCAAGGAATGGTGTGGGAATGTCTCTTGCAACGTGCTCCCATGCCCTGAACCTTGTTATTTCATTCTGCCACACTGTTTTACTTATCAAGGGAAAGTGCTTGAAATAGATGAGTTAATTTAACCATTTTATATCGAAAATATTTTGATAGTTGACGTCCGAAGGTCAAACATTAAGACAGAAACAACAGAGCGAGTTTTGCGACGTAATGCAAAGCACTCGTGACTCAGCCTTAGGAATGCGAATTATTCGAATCACGAAAGCAAAACCTCTACTTACGTTCATCAAAAAGCGTATAGAACTAAGATGCTACAAAAATATAGTTTGAAGTTCATGTTTAACACGCATATTTTATATTTTATGACGCATTATTGAATAGCTCAGGACAATTACGTGGGATACAACCTCCCCCCAATAAATACAAATTGGGAATTAATCATTTTTAATAGGACTAGAAAAGTCGAGAAATACGTAGCTATTAATTAAAATGCCGCACAAAGGCTTTTTATATTTTCTTGCTTGAATGCATGACTGCCTTCTCGGCGAGCTCTTCTTTGATCAACGTACAAATAAGGCAAACACAACTAAACCTATACATTTTACCTCCCTTCTTTATACTATACTGTATCTAAAACATGTTATAAACTTTTAGTGTGATATACGAAGCACAATGTCGCAAAACAAAGCTACAGGTGTTTTTATGAAGATAAAATATTGAACGTCATTTAATACAGTGTCGCGTGACACAGCAAATACTATGTAGGGAATGTCAAATGTCGCCAAAACGTTAGAACATAACAGAAAAAGTTCTCGGCCTGAGCCAAACTAGAATAATTTCACGGTCATCAAATAGCGAAATAAATAGAATATGTATTTGTGGTAATCTTTAAAATGTGTGAACGTTTTCTACAACATTTGTAAAAGTCGCCCAACAGGAAATTGAGAAATTCTTCAAATTCTTATGTAAAGCTTCGGTCAAATGGAATTTTCTGGGCGTTTTCCATGGATTGAATTCACGATAAATTGAATATAGCATATAATATATCGATCAATACTTATGTTGATGAGACAAACAAACTAATACAGCAAGTACAGCGACATTAAACATGAATCAAATACGATGACATGCGTATATTAAACGAGCACTTGCGCGGTTTTGATTTTATAATGGCCGTGAAAAGGAAAAAAATGTCAAAATAAAAGGTAAAAAACTCACCAAAACAAACATCCTGGATATTGAAAGTCACAAATGTTTCGACGGGAAAGTTGACAGCTAACCTACGCAATTTAAGTTATTTAACAAGACATCGGAGAATCGAACCTTCCTCGACAACCAGACTAAATACAGGGAATTTCCCCTTTACTAATATATGCAGCGCAAACGTCACATCCTCCTTTCCAGCCTCTTCTCTCTTGTAAATAGTAAATAGCTTGTGCTCTTCCGATCTTCTTCTTCTGAGCAACAAGATCCTTGCGTTGTTGCAGGGAGAGTCGGGATCGACCAAACCTGAAGCAAATAAAAAATTATAGAATTTGTACTTAAAGATTCAGTAATAAAATGTGTTACAAACAGCACAAGGTTAGATAAATTTGCTTGGCCGTTCAACACTTACCTTTTAGGCTTGCCTTCACGAGGAGCAGGAGATTGTTTTGCTGAAGGATCAGATCGGGTTGCCGCATGAGCTTTCTTGTACATCTCCTCCATCTGAAAACATTGTCAACATAAGTTTAACTCTGTTTTTCATGTCTTCAATTATACATAATCTGTTTTATTTTTGGACTTACAGAATCTGCCTCGACTCCCTCCTGGATGTATTTTGAAAACTGACGTTTCAGTATGTAGGCGTCCTCGTCTTCATCTTGCAGCAAACATTCAAAGAGGAAAGATGTTTATTCAAATTTGCTATTTATAAAGTTCAAAAGACCTAATGAAATACATGGAGATTGTTTTCAAAGGTATGTCTATCGTGTATTTACTTATTTGTATGCGGATAGTTACTTGATATGCTGTGTAGTTATATTCTTAAATCGAAGACCTGTATTTTATAGTCGCTTCGCATGTGTTTGCGATGAACATCAGCACTGTATTATCCTGTGTCTCGCCAGTCGCCATCATAGCCTGGGAAACGCTTCACACTAGGAAATTCAAATATGTCACACATTTCACACATTGAAATACATTAGTTTGAATCTCACAAATCTATCAAGTCTATCAAATCACAAATGAGTGATAGGATGGCATGGAGAACAGCGAGATTTCCAAACAATGAAACACTCAGAATTTCAGATCGCTGGATTTTGACTGCATACTCTGCAAACAACCTTTTCTTAGATGCAAGTGACGGCACTTACCTATGTGAGATATCCAACCCACCATCTAAAGCCCCTTTCAACGCACCAAACAATCGAGCACCAGTACTCGTTCTGGCCAAACCAACGTCTAAGAAACACCTGAATGCTCCTGGTGATCCATCAGCGTCCTCCACATTATAATCTTCGCATATCATCATTTCCAGCATAAATTTCATGAAGATTTAATTTTGTTAACAACCAAAACATAACGTTTCTCGATGTAAACGAACCCTAGTCCTTGCACTCCAAATCAGTCTTAACACTGTCCATACTGGTCATTCCAGAAAAGATCCACCCTGCCCTCAAGAAGGAAATTGGGAAGAGAAATAAATTTGTTTCTGATAATAGTGGGTGTATTAGGGCGTACAAATGGAGGTAGGGGGGTTAACTTCCTTGGGGGAGGGAATGGATGTTTTCTGGAATGCCCTAATCTAACAACACTACGCTTCGGTGGCGAAGTGGTTAGCGCACTTTCCTTTCACCTCTAAGGTCGCAGGTTCAAATCCCAATGAGAGTTTCTCAATGTGACTTGAACCCAGTCCTAATATCAACGCTCTGCCGAAAGTCGTCAGGGAAAGTTTACAGGGTGGGTTAGGCACATAGGTCTGAAGGCAAATCATAATGAGGTATGGACTAATAGCGGCTGCTTAAAGAATAACATGGTTTTATGAACTGATAACTTGATTAGCGATACGGTCCGTTAGAAAAAACGGATTTAGCTGGGAAAAATGGTATAAAAACAGTAAAAACTGTTTACGACCTTCAGAGCTATTGGACGTCAATGGCGGCCATCTTCGCTTCACTTTTCTCATTGGCCGAATGACTGAAGTTCTTGGTCCAGATATATATAGAGAGAGAGAGCTCACTGGCTACATATAATATCTATAATAGTCCTTCCTTTGGTGACTGTTTGACATGTTTAGTTTACTTTCGTTGCTCTTGGCAGTGTCAACATTTCTCACGTTGCCATGCACCATCTACTAAGCTTCACAGGGTAGCTGATGGTGATAATGTCTCAACACGTTCATTGTTTTGTACAGAACGCAGGGCCGCCGAGAGAATTCGCGGGGTCCGGGGCAAATCTTCTCTGGGGGCTCCATGACATCATTATTTTTAAGCCAATTATTAGCCCAAGTCAGTCACCCAACTAGACCTTAGCTAGACTGCATGTGAAGTTACTGTAAGAGTCCCTCAATTCCATGAATGCTCTGATCAATTTAAAGGACCTTCTCAATTTTAGGCTCTCGAACTCAAGTTGGGGCCCTATTAAGGTGGGGGCCCGGGGCAATTTGCACCCTCCCCCCCTGCCCCACCTCTCGGCGGCCCTGACAGTAAGGAACATGCTGTTCAACAACCTATTTCGTATTTTTGGAAGAACGTTCACGACGAACAAGTTCTTTCTACACGCTTTTGAAGTTTATGCAGAGGATACGGCCAAAGATGAGGCAATCATTTATAAAACCTTGTTGATCGTGTCCACAACTTTGTTCACTGGTATCTGTAAATACACATGGAAAGAAACTATCGATTCTGATTACAAGATATCGTAAGTCAGGCCAGAGAAGTTTGTCAGTCAATCTCATGTGATTGTGCATCCTAGTCACAAAACGGGCTTTTAAAGGGCCCGTGACGCAAAACGTTTTATTGTCTCATTGGAGAAACATTTAAAAAGAGTAACCGTTTTCCAGATTTAGCCTATGTTCCTTTGATTCGATTTTAACTTATTCTTGGGTTTCAATCAGGTGATAGTTTAGCATAATTTGACTCAGGTGGGGGACAATCATTGAACTGAGGTCAACTCAATCTCGTTCTCCGAGCATGCCCGTTCGCAGGTTAAGGGTGGGCATACTCTTAACCTGCGAACCGGCATGCTCGGGGAACGAGATTTAGGTCAACTGAAACAACAAAGAAACGTCAATGCATCTTATGAAAATGCATGTCAATGCATCTTATGTAAATGAGTTCTCCAACTATTATAAAAGCCGACATTGAAACAATATAAAATATATGAAAACCGTCCTTTGCCCTTGACACAGGCAATTGAACCCCACGTGATGTCATGTGAAACGCAAAAATTTCAATATGTCTGATATGTAAAGTATCTTACTTTGCATCACATATGCATGACTTTCTAGCCTTTGTACAAGAAATATACAGTATTTTTAGTGTTATCAACTGAAAACACTAAAAATTATCTACTTTGGTGCAAATATAAAGTCGAAACACAATCTGTTCTACGAAGCGTTTGTTGTATTCGATAATGACCATTATAGATTAGATTTCATGAGCAATTGTAAGTCACTAAGGGTGTTATAGCCACAGTAAAAAAATCGGCGTTTCCCCAGTTACGCTTAGCTTCGCTGAAAAAAGAATTGTTTGTACATGAAGAAAAGCTGCTGCTATGACAAGAAGAATGCTTTGTAATTTACGAGAGTTGAACATTTTAACGTAAATTTACTCACTTTATATTCAGCAAATACGTGACAAATAAACTTCCCTCCTCCTTGACTCTCGACCAGCCCAAAATGTACCCTATCACTGTAAGAAAATTACTTAGTTCTAGTTGGTCGAGAGAAGAACAATTATTTCATCAAAGCCAAG